GGGGGGGGGGGGGGGGGGGGGGGGGGAAGAAACTCCCTTATATGGGCTACATAGGTACGTGCGGCCCCAAAGTGTATGGTTTTCAGCCGTTTTGGTCATAAAAAAGGCATCGATTTTTTGGTCATAAATAGTGTATGGGTTTTGCACTCTACTCTTGAATTGGGCATGTTTTTTAGAAAGAGCTTCTTTTCAATCTTTATCGACAAGACCATCAACATGCAACGAAAGTCCTTCATAAACTACGTTTAGGGCAACTGTGCCAGCCGCAACGGTCGTAAATAGGGAATCCAATTTTTTTTGTCAGGTCATAAATAGGGTAGGGAAAATCGCAGATTTTGGTCATGAAGAGGGTAAGGGTTTTGGGAAGCGGGCCTCACACTTTAAGCCAATTTTTCTGGGAGCACCCCCGTGAGTTGCAGGTGTGAACCGGGTACTGACGGGGCGAGAAAAAACGCGAGGAAAAATGGGAAAGAACAAGTTACATGGTGAAGTTAAGAAACTTGCAAGGTGGTATATCGATCACAACACTTGTGACCCACCATGATTTCCTGTGACTTTTTTCCCTTCAATATATCACGTCACGCTATTACCTACACGCGTTTGCCAACAGCAAGGAGAGATCTGTGACAACAAGAGAACAACACCAAGTCACCAATCAACCTTGAAAGAGGTGAAAAGGAAAGGAAAGTAAAATATATTCTCCGTTGTGCGAATGCAACCTCTCTCTTTGCTGGACATTTAACAATCAGAGTCCCTCAGAATCTATCATACCCTGAGTCATTGTTGAGCGTGGGTTATCAACTCTACCATCTAAAGCTCGTGCTAATAACCATAGGAATAAGAACTTTATCTTTATCAGGGAAAAATGATAGTAATCGGCAACAAGAATGGGATCTGGCTAAAGAGTAGATTGGAGCAATTAGATTAAAGAATAAGAACTTAAACTTTATCGTTTCCATTCCGTAGCTGGGAAAATTGATCGAAATCGGTAACAAGAATGAGATCTGTATACAAGAGTTCACATAGCCTGCGTAGCAAGCGTTCCCATACGGAGAGCTTTTCCGCATTCTGACCGCGCGCAGGCTAGAGGTCACAGGAGTATCAAGACTGAAGAGAGAAAAACAAACTCTTAAACCGTTTAAGAACAATTTATAAATAACTAGTCAAGATCAGCCAAGTCACTGACCCACGTGGTAAGATGGCACAAACAGTGCTAATAGAGCAAGGCTGCTCACATGTGAAATTATGTTGTCAAGGGTAAAATACATACATGATTGAGTCTTTGAATTCTACAACAGTTAGATTCACATTTCGTTCTTTAAAAGCTTCACGCTTCAGTTACTTCTCGATGGATTTGCCAGCATGAATGTCCTCCCAGACGTTTTTTACACTCTGGTCTCAAGATAGACATACAACTTCTCCTTAACAGCTTCCATACATTTCGGTTAATGCTAGATCCGAGAATATCGTGTCGCATCTAGACAATAAGGAGCTTAAGTAATAACAACGGCGACGCCAAGGACGACGCCTTGGAAAAATGGATTTATATTTGACCTTTGAAATTCGCAGTTATCTCGATCTGTTAAGTAATAGTAATTGGACCGGGTGGAGTACAATTCAGGGAGTAATCGCGTGAGTAATTTCAAAATCGGACGAGCACGAAGGGCGAGGAGGATTTGAAATTACGAGCACGATTACTCCCTGAATTGTTCGACACATATTGCTAATTAATCGTATCTATAACAACTTTCGGAATTAAAATGTCTTTGAGAGCTTCTTTTAAGCGAAAACGTCTGTAGCGCTTTTCATAAGTTTAGAAAACTGTAGGAAACATCGCGAAGGAAGCCATTAAAGCGAGCGTAATTGACGTACCAATCACGTGGGTATCCAATTACAGGTATCCGATTACAAAAAGGTTCAAACTGGATACCTGTAATTGGACACCCATGTGATCGCGCACCGATTAGGTGACAAATAGGCGAGCGGAGAACTAATCACGGTCGAGAATTTGTCATTGATACGGTTAGTACGCCAATCGGTCTAAAACCCCACTCAAAATAGTTCTACAGTGCCAGCTATGATTCCACAAGGAAAAACGAAAAGTAAGCTATCGCGACGCAGTTATCCAAAGTACTCAGAACTTGGTTATTTCACGTTGTTTCTGGAAAGGATAACTACGAAATATAAAAGTCTATGACGCACGTGCGGGCATTGGGCTGCTCATTAAACCTTTGGTTTGTTGTGTTCTCGCCGTTGCCGTCGCGGTTTGCTTAAGCTCCCTATCATCACTTAGTTGATGAGCTTATTTATTCTCATCACCTTTCTGTATGATAATATAATGATATTGAAACGAGAAATAAAATGCCGATCAATCTTGAGTCAAAGGATAAACAGACAATGCCTGACGAGATAAACGATTCTCTGTCCATTGTAGCTCATTGTGTATTTTCAAGATGGCTCCCATCGCTTGACGCAGGATTTCACAACATGACCAGTGAATGCAAGGGATGGCAGAACGCTTGAAAATAATGTTTGTCCCCGCTAGTGGATATTAAGAGTCGTCTGTTTTGATCCTCTTTCCAGCTAAATCTCCGTCGGGTATGTCTGCTTCTTGTTGCTTTCTCTTTTTGTCGTTGTGTTCTGTTGCGCCGCCAGACTCAGAGTTGAACAGCACTATGATGGCTGTCATGTTATCACAACCAGTTCCATCTCCTGTAGTGTCCGGCGCTAAACAAGAATCTAGAAGCTGTAAAGACCAGTAAGTTAGGTATCTTATAACGGATTAGAAAATCGCCCAAACAAAACACGCGCGCTGATTGGTTAAAAATCGTGTTGCTATTAAACAATTAGATTATGAACTCGAGATCTATTTCCGTGTTTCTATCGAGTTTTAGTATAAACCTACCTAGAGAGACATATTTTTCGTAATAGTTACTACCGTATATATTATCGCTTATTTTTCATTAGAATATTATCAGTTGTAACAACCCTCTTTTCTGCACTACTTTTGAAATTTGTTGCAATATTGTAATATGTTTTTATCGATAAAATAAATTAAAAAATAGAAAATAAAAAATAAACCTACCGCGTTCTATCACGAATGCCGCTCTCTGATTAGCTACGCTACTCACTATCTATTCTGTTGTAGATAGTGAGTAGCCTAGCAGTGTGCGCTTGTTAACGAACTGGCGGCCGCTTCCTTCCGTTTTCGAAGTAGCTGTGAAGAGGCTTTAGATAAAGTTTTGAACGACTAGTAGATTTATACTAAAACAATTAGATTATTCGCTCTCGATTTGTATTCGTGATAGTTGCGTCCTCGTCAACTATCACGCGACAGAAATCTCGAGCTCATAATCTAATTGTTTAATAGAAACGCGATTTTAAAATCAGCGCGCGTGTTTTCTTTGGGCTATTTTCCAATTAAAAATTAAAATAACTTTGATTGACAGTAGTCTCCTAAGCAGACGTCTGAGTGGGAGGCTAGATTGATAGTGCATGTTTACCTCCTCACAAATCTTTGTTAGGTTAAGCTGACTGTTCTTTCTTTGTTCTCGTAGTCTGTCTCCCACGAAATCTACGACTTCTTGACTCCCTTTCACATTCCTAAATAACCAAAAAAAAGCACTAAAGTTTCTAAAGGGTTAACAATTAGCACGAACAGCATATGTAAAGGTGAAGGTGAATTAATCACCATGACACGAGCGTGGGACAAAGAAAAATTCTGAGTCCCCGACAGGAATCGAATCCATGACCTCCCGAACACCGGGCGGGCGCTCTATCCACTGAGCTANTTTAACTGAGTTCATATATGACAGGTGTCCTGCATACTGCTAGGATCAACGCTATCGAATTCATCGTGAGTAGTGATAAGTTGATAATGATGGTGAATTTTAAGCTCGGTAATGAAATGTGAAGGTGAATTAATCAACATGACACGAGCGTGGTACAAAGAAAACTCTTTCCAACTTATCATCATATGTAAAGGTTTGCACACACTGTAGACAGAACAGAATTTCAACAGAACGTCTTCTATGATGTAGTCTAGTTCTGGCCTTCTCTCTGCAATAAAACGCTACTCCAAAAACGTAGCGTTGCGTGACAGAGTGAGGTGCAGAACTGGACTACCTATGCTACGAAACTTGGTAAATAATAATAATGAAACTTTATTAAGGTGTCAAACCATGTAGCCTGGGAGAAACCCATACCAATAAGGGGACACAAACTAAGACAAAATACAAAACTGATGATAAGACCAAAAATATCTACGCTAAAATAAATGATTATTCTTACCATATCCCGTCACAGGCGATGACCATAAACTCGTCCGCCCTAAGAAAAATGACAGATATCAGTGTTTACATTCTCAATGGCGACCTCGCATACAATGTTTCTTTAGCCCAAACAACAAGTACATTTTGCTTGCAGTATGTGACCCAGGAGGATGTATTACTTAGTAACCGTGTTTGCCGTATTAAAGCCCTCATCTCACGCCACACTTCACTCAGACTTTTTTCGTAAGCGCCTCCGTTACATTGCTTCGCCCCGCCCCATCCCACCCTCTTGTCAACAGCGATGGAGCTACCGTCTCCCAACAAGGAACCCCAGGTTAATTCTTCCTGCCGTGCATCGTTTATCGAGGATATGATGTTATGATGGCTAATGATGCCAGTGCTTAACTCCGGTTTCTGAGGCGGCTAGGAGAATCACTATTCCCTCTGGAATAGGAGGTAGTTCATCACAGATATATAAGCTCGATTTCTGTAGCCTGAGTCGCAGACAGTCTAAATTACCGGGGATTTTGACACGTCCGGCTGCAACGCAGGCTAGATTTCGGCCGCTCTCGCGAGTCTGGTCTAAGTTCCTTTCCCGAACAGGGGCTGGTAACCGAGTTTATCACTGATAGTGCTACTGTGCTTCGAGAACAATAACCCCAGTCGAAGCTAACTGTTGAAACACTGCCTCCCATGCCATAGGGTGTTGTAATTTTTATGATGAAACTCTACTGGGTTTGTGTAACTCCGTGTTATAGATAACATTAAACAATACCTATTTCTGAAAGACGTTTATATATTAGGCAGTACTGGCATAACAAATGAGAAGTTTGTTGGTGGCTTACTCTGTTAGTGGTGTTTGTCTGACATCTGGCACTGCAGTGATCTGCTGCTCGTAAGCCGATAAATCTGTTTGTAATTTATAGCTATGATCACCTGGAAGGCGAAACAAGTGTTACGATACTCCAACATATTTGACGACGTATTTTGTTTGCTTTTCTGACGGGCAAACAATCACAAGCAATGTGCTAACGCGCACGGGGGATGATATTTTATTTCTACTCACTCTTCCAGCAAAGCGGTCAACAATCCGGCTCGAAGAATTAGCCTCTAGCAATGTATTTCTCAAAAAAAAGTTGGCAACGTTTGACTGAGAATTTACAGTGTTGGTTAAAATTTTAAATTTTCTTTATTCTGAATTTCTGTTGGCTTGAAAATGTGAAGTAGCTGACTGGAGGGGCTCAACAAATGAGGTGAACTCTGCCTAGAAGTATAGAACTTAACATGCTTCCATTGCATTAAGTGCAGTTTCTTATGCACACAAACTATAGCCGATTAACTTTTGCTAGAGTATGAACATACTAGAGTACATGTATAGTATAAATCTACCAGCGTCCTATCACGAATGCTGTACTCTCAATATTGACTAGGCCGCTACCTCTTGTTGTAGATAAGGAGTAGCCTAAAACCCAGTACCAGCTGAAAGTTTTAGTACATAGAGACTATGAATGATAATCCGAGAATGTCCATTATTGTGTCGAAGTTCAGACAGCAGCCTTGCAATGTGCCCTTGTAAATAAAATAGCAGTCGCTTCTTTGCGTTTTCGAAGGGTCTGTGAAGAGGACTTAAAAAAAGTTTTCAACGACTAGTAGATTTATACTAAAAATGCTGTAATCTGATTGGCTGAGCCATTGCACACTATCAGCCATTAGTGTGCACTGGCTTGGTGTGGTCGATAACATTTCAACGTTTTCTCATAATCTAGTTGTTAACTAGAGCATTAACATCGTACCTAACGCTCTTGATAGATTTAGGCCGCCGTTAACTCTTCCTTCACATGTGACCTTCCCGCCTGCTTTGTGAATTCTATTTAATTCATGTTCGTCCTCTGGTTTGTGGTCCATAGACATTTCCAAAGCAATACCATTGCGACACAACACACAACGTGAATCGCCCACATTCGCTACAGATAGTTGATTGCCATGTAACAAAGCGACTATCGCTGTAGTTCCACTGTCATATCCAACCTATAAAATATAATTTGGTACAGTCACGAACGGTCGGGCGTGTTTAAAACACAATGAAATGGCGAAATTATTAAATGTCACCACGGTTAGACTAAATAAACCTAAATTGCGCTCAGGTTAGCCTAAATAGCGCTCAGGTCAGCCTAAATATCACTGACTTGAAGGTGGTTAGCTCGCACTAGTTGTATGGGTTAACCCACATTGTTAGGTGCCATTTCGTCATTTCGTGTTTTCATTAAACACGTCCCGAACGGACCACTAATAACTGGCCTAACTAAAACTTTGAAAATTGAGTTTGCAGACAGATTTGGTTCATGCTTAGAGCGCGACTATCGCAAGATTCGCAGGTAAAATATAAATTCATTTTTTAAGCGACGTTGTCTGCTGAAACTCCCTTAAGAAACCACGACGGCGATGCCGAGGGCAACATCGATTAACAAATGAATTTATATTTTACCTACGAATCTCGCTATATTCTTAAGTCATTTCCCTTTGTTTCTCAGTGTCAAACTATTACGACACTGAATCTGGGACAGGGCGAAACATTTGGAATAAAAATAAAAAAAATTAACCGTCGTGGTTCACGTTCCCCGGACAATGTAGGATTTGGTCATTTCACGTTCTTGTTTTGCAGAGGACGGCAAAGAAATGTACCAAGAATTATAACGCACGTGCACAGCTTTTGTTTTGCTCATTAACCTCTTGTTTGGTGGCGTTCTCGTTCCCGTCGTGGTTTGCTTAAGTTCTCTAAAAACGTGAAATGTCTAAACTCTGCGTATTTTGGAGAATGCAAACGAAGGCGGCTAATTGCTAGCTTGAAAACTTTCTGAGGCATATAGTCTAGACAACTGGGAAATTGAGAAATTCGAAGGTAAAATATAAATTCATTTTTTTACTAAGCGTCGTCCTTGGCGTAGCAGTTGTTATTGCTTAAGCTCCCCATTGTTGTTGTCAATTGTCAATCACTATTCACTTCTGCAAAACCACTGTTACTGCTAGGAGATCGAAGTGAATGTTTCGAGCAAGATGAAGGTACTTTTTGTACTTTATCAGGGATAACATTCATTTTTGAACTTTTCATACAAGTAAACTATTCACCTCATCTGAGCTTTGAAATCCTTCATTTTCATTGGCAACTTGTCCATCTACGTCATCATCATCGTCATCATCATCCTCGTCATCGTCATCGTCATCATCATCATCTTCTTCTTCTTCCTCCTCCTCGTCACCCTCTTCCTCATCATCGTTATCACCTTCTTCAACAGCAATCTTCTCATCACTTGTATTATTTTCTTCCACCTTTTCCTCTTGACTGGTCCCTGCCTCTTCTTTCTGTGTTTTTTCGTCATTTTTGCTGTCAGTGTCTATTTCTTTGTTCTTCCTTTCCTTGTCATCCTCTGTAGTTTCGTTTGTAGAGTCCTTGTTAGACGAAGAACTTCCATCTCCATCTTCTGAACCATTTTCACTTATCTTTTTCCCGTCTTTGCCGTTTTTGATGCCTGAAGAAATAGTGAATGAGCTCATGAATATTTCCATAAACAAGGGATAGCTTGCATTATTTGATATTAATTTCGATCCCTTGCACAAATTGTACAATTTGAAATGAAATTGTACTTTTTCTTTATACAGTCGAACCCCTCTAATACGGACACAGTGAAGTAAATTTCTAACATGATCTGGTATTGGTATCAATTAGTGTCAATGTTTGTGTAACTGCCGACAGGAAATGGTACATACCGCAAATTATCGACACCCGGTCCCCGGAGTGTCCGTAATAAAGAGGTTAAATTTGCATGAATTTGCTCCCTAGGGCCGAGATTTAGTGTCCATCGTCTGTTTTAGACAGGGTCCGTAACAGAGAGGTCTCCGTATTGGAGATGTCCGTACGGAGAGCTTCGATTGTAGCTTCCACTCAAATGTCAAAATTTTGATCAGAATTATCACGAATCCTGATAGATTGACTGTATGTGTATTTCACTAGAATACAGTCTGTAATTTGTTTTATTCTTTTCTTTCAACTTGACTCCACTACTCTGAACTGCCGCTTATAAGCCCTGGGCTTATGCAACTTTGTAAGGGCTTTTAGATGGACTCATAAACAGAGAGGCTTTTATCCAAGGGGCTCATGACCAGAATAAAAACCATTTTGAAATAAGCTATAGCTGTGTTGATTGAAATAGGTTTTTCTTTTACTGGTTTTTAATAAAGCTTCAAAACATCACAATAAAACAAATTCAAAACAAGGACAATTAAAGGGGGCTTGTTTACAGGTAGATGGGCATTTAACTTGGGGGTCTTATAAGCAGGGGGGGCTTATAAGTAGCAGTTTACGGTATCGTTTTACCATTTTCATTTTGTGAATCAATAATGGCACTCTTCTCTTCTTTATTTTCATTTTCCTCTTCACCATCATCAGCTGCGGTTTGCTCATCATTTTCTGACCAGTATTCCACTTCCTCTTCATTACCATCTCCTAACCTCTTTTTCATCTGAAAAGAAGAAAAATCGACTGAAGTTGATTTAATGAAATTGAATGAGTTTATCCTCACTTAGACTGTATGGTGATCATAAAAATATAGTGTATTACACTATGGATGGAAAGTTTGATTGTGCTGTTACAGGACTCGACCTTCAGGAAAAAAACCTTGGGGCCACCTGGCCCCTACAGTAAGTTTCCAGCAAAAGTATTTCAGTGAAAAGCATGAAAAGTTAGTCCCCGGTGAAAAAGATTTGGTCGCATTGGTGACCCCAGCAGTAACAACGTTGAGCTCTGTGTAAATAGAATTTGTAAGAAATATCTTAGAAAAGAAGGGAAGATTGTGACACAAATGTGGTACATGTTAAGATCTTTTTGCACCACTCATTAGCCTGAATGAAAAAGTTATAACTATTTTCTGGCAAAAAAAGGCTTGTAAATTGCTAGCTGAACTACAAAGAGAATGAGCAGTATTTCCTCTTTGATGAGATTCGAATCTTAAATTACAGACCTCTTTCATCTTAGCCAACAGTTCATGCAGAGGCATTGAAGCTTCTTGTTCCAACAATCCAAGATCTTCTTCTTCATCAATGTCCTTATCAACTCCTGCTAATTCCTTCAACTCTGCAAGACCCTGAACAACAGATACAGAATAATTGGTTACATGAGAATGTGAGGATGAAAATATCCATTCCTGTTTGAGATGGCCACAGAAGGAAAGTGTGGGAGGTTTATACAACAAGATCATAAAACAAAAGGGAATTTTCAAGTTATTTCAGTGACATCATTTCTTTGCATTACATCTTCTAATGAGATCCACCATTGTGAAAATATCACTTGAGACAGTATCATTTAGTAGTGCAGCTCACCAAGTGGGGCACCATAACTATATAAATAGAACTGCATGCATGCATAAAAATAGAAAACCATTTAATTCTTTTTACATGGCTAGCAGCATGGATCCTGGGTGCCCTACAACAACGATGTCACGGAACATGGCTGCCATACTCCAGCTAATATGTGAACCGATGCATGCAGCCTTGGTTTACAGCATACATCTTGGCAGCTGTCAAACAAGGTATCTGCTGACCAGTATCATGTGCCCATATCACAGGCTCAGGTGTACAGCTCATCGAGGTCACATGTTTTTTGAAGTTGACCACTGCCCAGGTAGTGGTTTTCGTTTGGATCACAGGCTCAAGCCAGGTTACCTTATTGTGATCAGGAGTTTGGCTAAATCTATATATTTGGTGAAGACTTGTTATTCTGTCTTGTTATCTATCTGCTTGACAATGTATTGTACATCATTCAGATTGTATTTAGAGAAATTTATTATTCATTGTCACCAACCTCATCACTGATAATCAGCTGGTCAACTGCCAGGAATGAGTCAACCATTGACTGTTTGATGTCTCCTTTCTTGTAACTCTCTGTGTTCTTCAGAACTTTTGGCAAGTGCTTAGCTACGTATTGTGCTACTTCTGATCCTAAGTGAGCAACACAATAGGAAGTAAGTGACAAACCATGTGAAAGATGATTTCCAGTCCATACTGCATGGTCCTAGCACCCTAATGTTTACAAAAATAAAAAGTCTCACTCGATGGAATGTGAATCAATGTTATTCGTCATGAACGACATACCTTATAGACCACTTTCACAAATGGCGGCTAATTATAAATTCTTTGGCAAGTATTAAAATTAGCCTTACTAATCTCGTTTTGAAGTTGGTAATTCAAAAGAATTTTTACTCTGAAATGAGGTTAGTAAGGCTAATTTAAATGCATACAAAAGAATTTTAAATTGGCAGCCATTTGTGAAAAGGGTCTATCTTGGTGGCCTTTCAAATTCTTTTTCCAACAGCTTCATTGATTTTTACAGCTGCAAAGTTGTTTCATCAACTGATAGGAGAAAGAACAAAGCATGAAACTTCGCACCATAAGAGTGGTTGACATGAAAGTTTGAATTTACTTCATGTAAGTATGGAAGTCACAAAATGTTCACATTTTGTGATGTCTTACATGGGATAACACAAAAAACGTAAACAAACTCTTGAGAGTGTACAGTATGGACTGGAAATCATCTTAAAATGGTGTGTTTCAATATATTAAAAAACATGTTTACCACTTCAGTCAGAAAAAAGCATGAAAGCTCAAAAATCTACCTAGTAAAATGGGACGGATGGTAGCCTACTGATTAGGGTGCTGGATTCCGGATTGAGTGAGCCAGGTTTGCACCCTTATCAGAGTCATTCTGTGGTGTTCTTGTGCAAGACAATTTACACTCGCAATGCCTCTCTATACCCAAGGGAATAAATTTGTACAGACAACTTTATTGCCAGAGGATAAAATAGTGGTGGACTAGAAATGGCATAGAAATAACCTCTTCTTGTTACAGAAACTGAGACAATCTTCAATGGTGATGGGTCATTTTGCCTAATGCAAAGTGAAAGGCAGCCAAAATAAAACATTGCTCAAAATGCCACTAAAAGACAATTTTCCAGATCCTTTTATACCTCCATGGCCATCATAAACTGCAAACAGTGTGGAACTGTTGTCAAAATCCAACATGCATGTATGTGCATCCTGTAAAAAAATGAACCAAAGCTAACGTTAAGCCTAGAATAATGTCTACTTGATAAATGATAATCAGCCCCTCTGGGAAATTTGACTCTCTGAGGCCAGGAATGTGTTGGACAAACAAGAAGAATAAGATGAAGACATCACGTCTTCTATCCACATTCAAAGAAGACAAAGAACATGTGGGCTATTGTAATGATTTTTTACATATTAAACAAATTGATATTTTCAATATGGCAGTCAACTGACTAAGCTCGGTTTACAGTTTATATACAGTTTTTATAAATTTACTTTTTTATTTTTGAAAGTTTAAGTGCATCAGATATAGATAGAAGATGTGATGTCTCCAACTTATTCTTTTATTCTTCTTGATAATCAGCCCCATCAATGACTTGGACCTCATTCAAAAATGATCTCACTCACTGTGACAGAATAAACTTTTCAAGCAACTTTGTTTGAAAAGCTGTTAGTTTACAAATAAACTTGTTAGTATGGAAGAATCATGATTACTCTAAACTCCATGTGAAACAAAAAATCGCTTTGAGAATCAGGAGTTTAAGATATACTGTAAATACAAGATAAACTAACAGTGAAACAAAACCAAGGTAAATGACTTTTTGTTAATTGGAGATTGTTATTCTGGACCCTTCATCCTACAATGAAAAGACCACGGTGTTGTCTTAGATGGAGTAGGAAAATGAATCAAAGTTTTTTTCTTATTTACAGGGTAGGCATTTCAGGGATGCAGCCACATCAATCAACCAATGCATCTATTCAGTGCACCCCAGGGAATGTTTGCCCAATATGGTGCATTGCAAACATTGCAATGTTTGCACAGGCAAGGATTTTGCACTGACCATTACATGGCCATTTCCTAGAAGCAAGAAATTTTAATTTGCATTATACAGTGGTACCTCGATACAACGAAGGGCCAAAGGACTGGCAAAATATGTTCACCATAAAAGGGTCTCAAATATCAGGATTCTTCTCTATATGTTTTACTATTCCTGGGGCAAAGAATTAATACCCCTTGTTAACACAATTCAAGGACTTCGCTAAACAGGGCTTCGTTAAACCAAGGTTCCACTGTATCCATATATTTGAGATACATCAGTATCATCCCAAACAACTAGCCATCCAATCAGAACATGGTTTACATAAACAAAATTTAACACCTGGATAGCACTGTATAGTCCATGCACGCAGAGTATGTGCTCAGAAGGTTTATTTACAGTTGCTAAGTACTGCTGTACAGGATAAGATGTGACAGTCTATTCACACACGACTCAATGGAGATAAACTGTTTTTCTCTGGATTTTTTATCATAGAATAGGTTGGAATGACTTTGAACTATTTCAGCTTTATTTTTCTCCCTGAAAAATAAGCTTAACCTCCGCAGATCGTTAGAGCTCTTAATAGTTTAAACCTATCTTATATAAGCTCCAGCTTACATCGGATTCACCATGTTATCTGTTAAGTTTAATATTTAAAAACATCTGCCACGATTTCTTCCCTGGCTGTGATTCCCTTCAATCCACTTCAAGTGGTACAACCTTTAGCCCTGCCATATGAATAAACAAAACGCCTCTCCGAAGAAAACCATCGAAATGGATTTCGTCGATTTTTATCGTCAGCCAACAAAGCTGATTACTCAGTGAAGCTAAAGAAAGGTGGAATCCAGAGAGCCAAAGGTATACAAGATGGAGTGTATTAAAACCAATCACTCAAAGAGTAGTTGTCAATGATCAATAAATACAACTGTTATCAACGCTTCGCTTTATACACAAGGTGTAAGAGTTTATTTTGCGGTGCAAACTCACTTACCTCCATAGTCACACGCCAGCCTTGCATACAGGATACGCCATACCTTACTTTACCGTTTTCGCTGCTCTCAGAAATCTTCTCCGTTTTTGGTTTCGCCAAATACGCGCCCATAATGTTTGGAAAGAACGTTCGTGCAAATAAAACTTGTAACCACGAGGCTTGCTTTCTCTCCGTTGCAGATTAAAATTCTTGATCTTACAATGTGAGGCACAAAACTCGCGGGCAAGATGCGCTCGAACTTCCTGTTTTGGTATTGCTGCTGAATTGCCTGCGGGCTCAACCTTTGACAAAAGTTACTTTAAAACTTTTTAACGCTTATCAACAGATCATGATTTGTCAATTAAATGACATTATCATAGATGGCTTTTTCATGAAAATAAGCTTATAGATTGAAAGGGAGAAAGAAGCGCATTTTAAAAATTGAAATTAGGTGCAAGGAGGACACGCGTGGGCGATAGGAAAAGCAAGTCCCCGCGCGCTTACCGGCGCGCAATGTGGCATGATCCAGTCCCAGTATCCAACGCAAGCAAGCTGTAGCACATTTCATTTCAGATCAGCCGCGGGGTGAATGAACATGCCTCCTGATTCGAAAGATCTGTCCTCTTTAAAAGACAAATCTCTTTCGTTTCATAGATTGCATGCTACAGACTTGGATAGGATGAAGGGAATTTATTTATCCGCTGAAGAGCTAAGAGGTTTTGACAAGTACAAGGTACACCTCGATCGATCGATTGGATCACTCGCTCGATCGATCATCGATCGACCGAGTATTAGTCGCGGTCTTTTTTGATAGTTCTTTGAAATCTGCTGCATTCTCAGGCTTTTTTTATTTTCCTTTAGTACAAATCGGAAGACACATCACCCTTGTCAAACTACTTAACTCATCCTTTTTGGAATTTTGTTGTGGAGGTGAGAACTCGGGAAAATAGGGAAGATTGTTGCTGCGGCTTCTAAGACTCCATTGAGTAAGCTTAGATTTAGGCCCACTGCTTGCAAGATTGTTTGTGTGCCAGTAAGCAGCTTTATACAAACAGGTGACGTGGGGTAACATGAAGGTATTATTTTTGTGACACGACCGGCCGGAAAATCGATTAAGAATGGTCATCAAACCAATCTACAATCCAGTGACTTTGGGGAGTGGCATATCGAACAGATTTTGATCCCAAGGGGGGCTGTATGGAATCATCATGTTTGTGTTGATCAGTCATACAGACTTTACTTGGGTTACTTGTACTGTGTTAGTTGTAGAAAATGGCTGCCAGATGTCCAGATATTACTTTGATTTTTAAAATGGAGTCTGCTGGAGGCATTTAATTTTTAGGATAATCATGTTACAAGATTAGCATAATCATATATTACTAGATTAGCATAATTTTGCTAATATTTTTTTCCCCTTGATTTTTGACCCATTTTGATTTCATGATAGTGATAAACTCACACTGATTCAACGTCATTCGCTGTGTTCTATATTTGGAAGTGGTTTTCCCATTGTCATCTATTTGGTGATAGAGCATGATCAATATTGCACAGGTTGCTTTTGAAAAAGGAAAATTTAAATTTCCTTGAAAAGAAAATTGTTATTGAAATAAGACAGGAATTGCTTACCAATCACTCAGCATCACCATGAGCGACAGCAATCTCAGCTGCACCTTGTTGACTATTTGCTCATAGAAGACTCAGACTTGTCATGTAGCAAACAGTTAACTAAACATGGCATACAATTATGGTATTGTCAAGATCCATATCATATTTGACAAATATTATACTCCCTACAATCGAAAAATAGGAAATTTAATCTCCCTTAGTTTGTGATTATATCTACTGTCTTCCTTTCATCTGTTTTAAGTCATATAGATGTTGAAGAGGTATTATTGATGTTTTATCACATGTATTCCTTTTCCAGTTCTTTCCCAGGTGGCTGGCACCCAATGTTCTCACATTCAGTGGTTGGTCTCTCCTGTTCATGATCTATGCAGTAACATGTTATTACGATCCTCATTTTACTGCAGCAGGTGATCCAGATGAGAGCAAAAGACTGCCATCCCTGTGGTGGCTTATCTTTGCAGTAGCACACTTTGCTGCCCATACATTTGATGGTTGTGATGGCAAGCAAGCTCGCAGAACTAACTCCAGGTAGCATAATTATCTCTTTTGTACCTCACCTCAAAATCTAGGGCCTTGGAGAGAGTATACAATCACAATTAACTGTGGATAACATACAAAGTAATACCGGTACTCTCACCACACAAGTGCAAGAATTATGTTTAGAAATCTAAGAACATATGTTAAGTACTGCATTGACGTGTTGTTTTTGGTTCTTATTGGGTAATTTTGAGGTGAGAAATTGCCATCAAGTTACCTTATATTTGTTTTTACCTTAAGATTTGAGGGAAACACATCTAAGATGCTTCAAAATTTCAAGGGAGCATTCTCTCAAAACCTACAAGCTAGGGGATCTGCAGTTCCATTGTTCCAAATACTTCTCACATTTTGGGAGATAGTCAACTTGAAGGCTCTGAACATATCTTCTTTGTTATGACTAATGTGGCACATAATGCCTTGGTATGTATATTTGGCATATTATATTCCATTAATTTTCAGTTCTCCTCTGGGTGAATTGTTTGATCATGGACTGGACAGCTCGGCAGCTTTTCTTATTCCCATTAGTCTGTTTTCACTCTTTGGTCATGGTCCTCACAGCGTTTCTCTGTGGGAGCTATATCGACTGATGTTAGCTTGTTTGGCTGGATTTTACATGGCCCACTGGGAAAAATACAACACTGGGACTTTGTTCTTACCATGGACTTACGACGCAAGTCAGATAGTAAGTTTTGTGGCATGTTACTGGCTACACGTATAAGATCATTATTGCAAGTAATAGTAATTGGACTGAGTGGAGTACAATTCAGGGAGTAATCATGCTAGTAATTTCAAAATCTTACAAGCGCAAAGCGCGAGGTGGTTGGAAATTACGAGCACAATTACTCCCTAAATTGTATGACCTGAGGTCCAATTACTAATTAATGGTGTTTATAACAAATTTTGGAATTAAAAATGTCGTTTGAGAACTTCTTTTGAGTGAAAATGTCTGTAATGCTTTTCATAAGTTTTGAAACCCATAGGAAGCAGTGTGAAGGAAGCCATTAAAGAAGGCATAATTGACATGCAAATCACATGGGTATCCAGTTATGGGTACCGGTATCCAATTACGAAAAGGTCAGATTGGATACCTGTAATTGGACACCCACGTGATCGTGCACTGATTATGTAACAAATAGGCTCGCGGAGAACCAAGCATGATTGAGAATTTTGTTAAAGATACGATTAACACAAAATAGTGTATTTTGTTAAAATGCATATATACATGTAGATGATAAAATACCTTGCCTGCATAGTACTCATGCCCAACTGTACCTTTTTTGCACACTTCGGCATTGTATCAGGCAAGCCAAAATATATAACCAGGTGAGACCAAATGAGCCTGATGTACTGCTGAAGTACAGCAAAAGAGGCATGATAAGGTATTTTCCATATCCAAATTCACCCAAACACCGGGCCAAAAAGTTCAGTGACTTGATATCACAGGACATCAGGGCAGTGGACAAGGCTTGTGATTGGCTAATTGCAAATTTGGGTATATTAAGAGTATATTGGTAATAAAGTTAAATTTCCATTTCAATCTTTTTAGGCCATTGCATTTGTGTACCTCTTAACATTTTACTATGGAGTGGATGTGTGGAAAATTGAGTTAATTGAAGGTTTCCCTTTATCCTTTGTGTTTCGGTGGTCAGTTTATGGTATGTATATTGTTCATTTCTCATATGCTTCCTTCTTGCATGCAACAAATGTATTCTATTATGCCATCCGTTTATTGTAAATTTTATTTTAGTACAGTTTTTAGTTGTAACACTGACAGTGAAACCTGCACTAAACCCCATATTAAGCGGACACCCTCTGTTAANGATTTGACTGAAAATCAAAGTTATTGTTTGTGTAATTATCATGGCATGAAATAGTTAATCGCTCGCTGGCAACCAGTTGTGAAATTCTGGTCGCCAGTGCAAAATTTTTAGTCGCATTGGCGACCAGGAAAGAGCAATTTCGGACCCTGATTTTGTTGCACAAAACCTGCAATAAGTGGACACTTCAAGGGCTTTTTACCTCTAAAAGCTCAGCTCGGACTCTTTTAACATTGTTCAGTGATGTTGTGTTAAGCTAAATAGATTATTCCAGGATGATGCATTGACTGACTGGACATTGTGCTACGAGCAGTCTTTGATCTTACAAGTTGTGCTACACTATGTTAAAAAAGGGTTAATAATAACTATTATTGCACAAAATATTTACACCTGTCTAGAGTGGACACCCTATATAAGCGGGCATTAGTAAGTGTCCCAAGGGTGTCCGCTTAATACAGGTTTCACTGTAATACCAAATACCAGCAATTGGTTTCAAAGTATAATTTTGCTATCCCTATAGGAAGTTCCCTTATCCTTACACTTGCTATGACGCTGTACAACTTATACCAGTAAGTTCTTTATAATAATAATATCATTTTCATATTTGGAAATTTTATGGTCAGGTTATGCATGTCTGTTTGTCGGAGGGATGGGGGGTGGGGATGGTTGGGTGCTTTAGAGAGGTCCTGCCATGGTAAATCGTGGCAAGCCACATGGTCCCAAAGTGGCAACTGCAATGGATAGAGTAAAATTGCAAAGTCGTTCTTTCAGTAATTTTCTTCCAATTTCTAACAGTGTGCGTAAAGTACAGTTAAACTCCTTTAAGACAGACACCAAAGGGGTAGAGTCAAGTGTTCACATTATGGAGGTGTTAGTATTATTTCTATTGAAGTAGAGGTTACATTGATTCTGGTTCCTTTGGTAACCAGTGGGCTGTCTGTTATATAGCAGTGTCTGTTTGGATAGGTTTGGTTGTCTTGTTGGAGTGACGCAGGACATTTCAAAATTCAGACAAGCTACACAGGATCCCCAACCCCTTACAGAAGGCCTCCTTAAGATGGAGCTCATCCAGAGTGCAGCAAATACCAATACTCAGGCATCAAGGGTATTAAAAGTGAGGGAGGACTGGGTTGGAGAATTAACCAAGCTTCAAAAGTCAATTTGAAAAATAATTTTTTGGTTTTCTTTTTACCCTCAGAGCTCGTATTTCCAAGACAGACCGTGGGCTGCCACTCCTTGAGGGTCTTGTTCCTCTTCTGTCGTTCTTTCTGCTAATTTTCCTATTTTTTGCCTGGGCCATCCTATCTCCTGCCAACATTCTCGAGATTCAGCCACGGATATTTTTCACAGCTACTGGGATTGTTTTCTCCAATGTGACGGTAACATACTTCACATGTAGTTTGATAAGAGTTTGTTTGTGACACACGTCACGCTCACAGTCACGCTTGCATGCTTACTTGTTTGGCATTCTTCCCCCAGATTTTCGAGGAAATTAAGAGAGACTGCTCACAGTCTAAGCAATTGTCTATCACCAATTAGTATCACCCAACTAGTAGACTACTGCAAATCCTGCATTTTAATTGGCTACAATAGCCCATTTGGCTTGGCCTCATGGGCTATTGACCCGTAGCCCTGTAACTAATCTGCTTTTGAATTTGTCATTCTTTCAGTGCCGATTGATTGTGAGTACAATGGCCAATCAGCGATGTCAAGCCGTCAATGCGATGTTTTATCCTTTGTTCATCTGGGTGCTTATTGTACCCTTTGTAAGATCAACTGAGTTAGAGGTCGCAATTCTCATTTTATACACTGCAGCAGTAGCAGCTTGTCACATCCATTATGGAATATTCTTGGTGAGTAAAACTCACACTGTACTTTCAGTAAGAAAATTAATTTTTAAAGGATGCTTATGCACATTGTATTGCCCCCTCAGTCGGGTAAGCCAGGATCCTCAATACACCATCCCCTCCCCTACCATGATTGAGCAGTTCTTTTGGCCTAGTTGAACTTTTGTCAGCATTTTTGAATTTAAGTCAGGCAAGATGCCACGAAGTATTTGTGCATACTGAGAGGAATGACTGAATGATAATATTTGTTGCTTGATGCTGCTGAAGTTCGGGATAATGTTTAAAGTGGCCACTGTAGGAAATATGCATGAATGCAATTCATTGTGTGGTGTTCATGTGCAAAACACTTTGCTCTCACAGTGCCTCTCTCCACCCAGGTGTATAAATGGGTACCAGCGAACTTAATGCTGAGGGTAACCCTGCAATGAACTAGCATTGCATCCAGGGCCCATAGATCTACTCCTAGTCACTTCATGATACACAAATGGGAAATAAGTGCCAGCCTGATGGGCCACTTGGATGCATGCAGACTTGTCAGTGTGTTTGATTATTTATAGAATTGTCTTCTGTCATAGGTACGTGAACTGTGTGACCACCTTCACATCAGTTGCTTTTCACTCAAAAAACATTGATGAAACCAGTTGGAAGTCAAGAGCTGTCTTCACTAGAATTTAGCAGACAGAGAATGAATCACTTGTTTCTTTGTGCAGACAAATGGACAGAGATTTATGTGAATGTAGCATTCAAAGCAGTGTTAGTGAATACAATGCTTCCACTTGCACTCTAATTGCAGAATGCTAATTCTAATTAACAATTAGACTATGAGCCCAAGTTTTCTATGAGTGAATAGTCAACAAGGCGTAGCAGAGTTGATAGTTGCTCATAGAAAATGAGGGCAAGTAGTATAATTGTTTTAGTAGACACTCTACAGGATTACAGCACAAAACCTGCAATTTTGTGTATTTTAAGCCTCAACCTGTGAATAATTTTCATTTTCAAGAGCAGTGCATGTGATCATTGTCTATCAGCCAATAGAAAACAATGAGAACTAATCAGATTCACGGGTTTCCAATAAAACACGGTTAAGTGGCTACTAATAATACTAATTATTTATAGTGTAAATCTGAAAAGCTTGAAGACTGATAGGACTTTGGCATAATCAAACCACGGGGATGACATGTATATTTACCATCGGGGTTTGTAGTATATTTATCTCACATCATTTTGCTTGTTTTCCTTTACAACACATTAGTACTTCACCATTCTATTCAATAGGCCCTTTACACCATCGGGTCACATGGTACAAAATCACACATGCTGGGACGCAAATGGCACAGTAAGACTTCCAAAACAAAGCAGTCCACCTTGACCTGCCTTTGTTTTGGAAGTCCCACTGTGCCATTTGTGTCCCAGCATGTGTGATTTTGTACCATGTAACCGGATCGTGCAAAGGGCCTATTGGATGTGCTTTTCTGATTTGCGCTTTTTGAAATCTTGTTCTGTAGCAGTGAAATAAGTTCCTTTTTCTCGTGGTTATTGTTCCATGCAATAACCATTGGACAAAAGTAAGTTTACTAAGTAATCATTTAATCAATAATGGCCAGTTGCCATTTTCAGGCATCCCTGTAGGGAGTTATGTCAATTTTTTTTTTAACATTACTGAGTCTTGGTCATGTTTCATTGAATACAGTTACCATGATTCCCTGTAAGTGCTTCTCATAGCTGGAACTGAGCAATTGTTAGTAAGAAATAATTTGAATTTGTTTGCAAAGTTATATATAATTTCCAAATTTTGCAACATTTTCGTCAAAATAAACAAAACTAGTTAATTATTTATTTTTGTTGTTCAATGTCAAAATGGTGCCATCCTTAAGAAATATTATTGTCGCCATACAATTTCACACAAAGAAAGAATTAAAATTGCTGCAGTATTCTTGGCATATTTACAGCAATGAAGAGTAACTTACTTTGTTTTGACTGGTTGAAAACAGTGATTCCAAATACTAACTACATGATTAGGAGAATTTCTGGTAGCGTGTGTACATGTGACCTCTCCTTAAAAATATCAGAGAGAGGGCTTCTGTGTTTTACCATTCGTGTAATAAATGTTTTTAAATTGTTGAAATAACTGCTTTGTGCACCAGTCATGTTGACAAATATCTCAAGAGTTTGTTGTAGAGACCACAATGTTGTGCAGGGTTTCCATTTAGAATTATGAAGTTTAAAAGCCTGCTAATGGAGGTAATAAGCAAAAAATATTCTGTAAGTGGTCTATTTTTACCTGTTAACATAGCAAAGGTCATTAACTGTCTCATGCAGAGAACAATTACCTTTGTTGTCTCTGAGTGTCACATCAGATGTAATAACACTGAAATGGTTTCACATTCACATAGATGCCTCTCTGATTTTTCTTGAAGAGAGCAAGCAACTGTACACAGACTACATAAATTGAAGGTCACCCTGCAACTTGAATATATATTTGTGTCAAAAATATTTGGCTTTTCGAGGAAACACTTGATAAGTACAAGGGAGAACTCATGAAGGTGTAATAGTGTATTATATTTAAACCTGGTAATTTTGTTGGAGTTTGATGTACATTTTAGTATGGTCATTAAAAATAAAGTCACTTGGGCTGAATTTGACTGACGTGAAGGTTATTTCTTGACATCCCTCTGTCTTTCCTGGTCATCTGGGGGTCCAGAAAATTAACTAGAAAGGCTAATACTGCATTGAGGGTCCACATCCCACCACTATTTTTGGCTCAATCCTGCCATCCCGCCTCAGTTAGAATATTTATCTTGATCCCTCCTGGTTAGAGTCACAGTTCTCCGTGTAATGTCTGTAACTGTGATTTCCCTTTTTTATCCCGCATCCTGTGATCAGTTTTAAAACCATCCCGCATCCCAACTGTCAACATGCACATCCAGCATCCTGCTAGTAAAAGTCCTGTTATCCTGTTCCCTGCCTTCACTTTTACCCTCATCCTACATCCTTTCAAACCTATGTTGGGCGCTCTGCATTGCAAATCCTCACAAAAAAACATATACAACACCAGTGCCAAATTATTTACACAGTTGGCAAGTTGAAAATGAACTGCCAGTTGGTTGATTCACTCATGATAATTTCCAATTTACCAAGATGCCTCTCAGATATTGCTTCNTATGTTAGGCCCTCTGCATTGCAAATCCTCACAAAAAGACATATACAACACCAGTGCCAAATTATTTACAAGGTTGGCAAGTTGAAAATGAACTGCCAGTTGGTTCATTCACTCATGATAATTTCCAATGTGCCAAGATGTCTCTCAGATATTGCTTCAGCTCCTAAGTATTCTCAGTTCGGATAACTGTACTGCTTCAATATTAACTGCACAGTGAAGCTCTGGTTCAAAACATCCTCATGTGGGTTTTTTGGAGTTGTAGACCTTCACTCCTGTCACATCTGTCGATGACCGTGCAAACTTCATTAAAAGAGCATTCAGTGATTGCCCAGGTGCCTCTAGATCTCTAAAGAAAAGAAAGCAAATCTCATTTCAATCTCTCTTCAACAGCCTGCCTGAATTTCCTGTAATGTACAGGCTGAAGCATAAATAAATCACTCTGATAATGATTACGAAGACACTCTGGGCTTGTTATGCAATCTTCCCTCCCACATCAAGGAGGAGTGTGTGACAAGCAATAAGAACATGCATAGGAGGCTTATGTAAAGCCTCTCTTAAAGAACTGCCCCACGGACGTGTACAGATAACTCTAAACTGTCTTTCAGAGGAATACTGCTAACAGAGACTGATAGCTTTTTAAAGAAAGAACAAATTCAATAGTGCTTAGTAACCTAATATAAGGCTGTATCTCATCAAATGTCCACTTGGATTGTACTTTAAACAGTTTCATGAACCTGTTGATGAAAGAAACATATTTCAATTTCACTGGTACATTTCCATTGCCTGGTATCATAAAAAACCCTGCTCCATATGATTAGCCAATCGAATACTAGGATTCAGGACTCTAGACCAATGAGATGGCCTAGAAAAAATAATATCACTTATGCTTACATTTCTATGCTGTAGGTGGATACAGTGTTGGAACATTTTGAGTGTCAGAATTTAAGCTTGGGGTATTAACCTTGGAAGATCCTGAATCTTATCCAGGAAGAATCACTATACTCTCAGTTACTTTGATAAATTTCATTAAATACAACAAGGGTGAAAGACCGTGTTTGACCACATTTCCAAAAACTGAGAACAAAGTTGAAAATATTACGCATCGAAGGGTATTTCTGATGAACCTCAAGGTGTTTCTGTGGAAATGTGGTTATGATCAAACACTCTCTCAAGTGTTTAGTACATCTTCTAAGGCGAAACTAAAACTAAGGAGAAATAGCAAAAATTTCATATGCAAATTAAGATCAAATATTTAAACACCATCCCATTCAGGATTTCCTTCGTTTAAACTTGATAAATTATTAATGATTTTGAGAAGGCCTCTGTCTCAAACACACCATTTTTTTTATTAGCGGAGCTCCGGCAGCCCAAAGGACTGCCAAGCGGAGCCCCATACTCATATAGGAAAGAAAAGGAAACCCATGGGTTGATTTTCTTATGGTTATGATGGCTAGTGGTATTGCTCGTGGGTGCGTACGCATNCAGCTAAATGTTCAGACTTTGTGGTCATTCCCTCTGGAACACTTTGTTGCCAGGAATCCATAAATTCATGGTAATTGAACTAAAAGGGAAAAAAATGAGGATGGGTTACCAAAGTGGTAACCTATAAGTATTGTTAAATTATATTTTCATAAATTATGTATCATATCCCCTGGAAGGCTTTTGGTTTGAAATCCCCCCTCTCTGGAATTTTCAGTTTTTGTTCATACTTTCCTTGGATATTTTGTGAAACCACACAATAAACAGCTAACAAACCTTCATTTACATAATAATCAGATAAAACTATGATAAAACTATAAAACTAGAGAAACTATGAATTCATACATTATTAGGGGTAGACTTCAATTCAGATACTTCACCTGATTATTTGGCATATAGGCAGTTTAGATTTCTGTTGTCATTTACGTGTAACCAAGTGAATGGGATATGTTGTTATGAATTCTCAACCATGGCTGCTGCTGTTAGTAAGTGATGCTGATTTGGATTTTGTACAACAAACTTAAAAAATAGATGTTTGGGCAGTACAGCATTAAGGTTTGATAAATACTCACAAAACAAAACTTGTAGACTAGAAGGGTTTTATTGGGGTAACAAAATAATGGTTCTGTTATTTTAATTTCTAACTAGTAATTACCCTTCCTGCTTGTCTTAAAAGGTACTCAGCATAAAACCTGCAAATCTTGTCTTCTGAGAGTCTGTAGTGAATGATGCTGTCACCTGAAAATGATCAACAGTCGGTGAGGAACCAATAACATTACACCCTGAATCTAACCATAAAAGAAAGAAAAAGAACCACCTCAAAAACTACTGACAATCGGCCATGTCTGAGTTGCCCTTTGCCTCTGTGTCAGAATGAGTCTTCATGCAAAACCATTCATATGAACATTTGTTTCCCCTACAGGTTCATTTTCATGCAGATCAAACCCATTTTCATATGAAACGTTTTGCCTGATGTGACTCGTTTTGTAACAGAGGCACAAAGTAACTCAGAACTGGCCTATTAACTTTAACACCCACTAGCTGCTTTGTTAGGTCATTAGTCTGAATAAGTTAACTGTAAATTTTCCCCACCCCCACCCCTCAATAAGCACCTGTCTTCAAAGAGGATGGCAAAGGGTGCATGACCCATGATAAGGGCAAAAAGTAGTGTGTGATGTGTGAAAAGCAACTAAAAGACATCCACGGTGAGCAAAGTATTAAAAAAAAACGTTTTAACAGAAGCTCAAAGTATCATGATGTATGAATTTTGTCAATTTTGCACATGAAACATGAGTGCAACCTCCCTTTGCTACCCTCACTAAAATACAAAAATCATGGGTACATACGGCGTGCGGAGAGCTATAAAGCAATACCATCTGCATGCATCACATGTGCATCATGCTGTTTGGAATTATTATTGAATCAGCTTGCCAGAAGGAACGTGCTAAAGTTTCAATCTGCTGTCAAAGTTTCCTCCAAAAGTGTGAACAATGAATAACAGTTAGAGTCACATAAGATATTGAGAAGACATTCTTTGGTCAACAAACAACATCCACCAACCTGAATCAATATCCATCTCTTTTACTTCACCATAACAATTAAGACAGTGTTCCAGAATATTTCTGAAAAATAAATGCAGAGGAGCTTTTTAATAATACAATATAATTCTATATCTAATTACACTCAAACCTACACTCTGTAAAGCATACAATTAATCACAGTCCCAGCTAAGATAAGATAAAATAACATCTTGTCACTTTTCTGGTCTCAAGGGTGATTGATTGTGTAGTTCCAGAAAATATCCATACCTCCCCCATGGAAGGGATTTTTTCCAAGACCCCCCCCCCCCCCCCCCCCCCCCCCCCCCCCCNTTAGAGTCACATAAGATATTGAGAAGACATTCTTTGGTCAACAAACAACATCCACCAACCTGAATCAATATCCATCTCTTTTACTTCACCGTAACAATTAAGACAGTGTTCGAGAATATTTCTGAAAAATAAATGCAGAAGAGCTTTTTAATAATACAATATTATTCTAAATCTAATTACACTCAAACCTACACTCTAAAACCTACCTGTAAAGCATACGATTAGTCACAGTCCCAGCTAAGATAAGATAAAAATAACATCTCGTCACTTTTCTGGTCTCAAGGACGATTGATTCTGTAGTACCAGAAAATATCCCTACCTCCCCCAAGGAAGGGATTTTTTCCAAGACCCCCCACCCCTCTGGAAACTCCAATTAAACTTGATACATTTCTTTAAATTTTTTGGTCTAACTTAGAGAACCCCCTCCCACCCCTCAGGAAATTCCAATCCCTTCTGTGGGGGGAGTATGGATATTTTCTGGTACTGCACATTACGGGAGGTGTATTAAATTAGCCTGTATTGACTTGTACATTTGACCATCACATTGCACTCTTTTCTCAGTGACACACCTTGGCTCAAGTTCCTCCAATATATCACAGCATTCCTTCATTGGTACTGCTTCATAACTCCAGTCCATCTCTTCAAGTAAAGTCAGAATCCTAACCACCACCTTCTCCTTGTAATCTGTATCAAGTAGCCGCCAGTATCCTGAAAAGTACATTTACAAATCTATGGACATATGTCTTCAGCAGGGTCAGAGCTGAGACAGTGTTGGGCACACCCATATCTGACTTAACCCCTGCTACCTTCCTGCCTTCATGGACAATCTGTGGCACAAGAAATTTGGGATCATATCTACTAAAGGCATCCGTGGTCGATACCCTCGATCAACACTCCATCAACATCTTGGTCAACAGTCGACTAATTTTCGATCCATTGATATGAGTCGGTTGGAACTTGGCCAATCAAGGACTGACTGATGATCAAGTGTCGATGGAGTGTCAACACCCTCAATCGTCACTACCTTGACACCTCAGTTGACACTTAATCAACACTCCATCAACATCTTGATCGACAGTCAGTCAACAGTTGACTAATTTTCAATCCATTGATATTAGTTGGTTGACACTTGGCCGACTAACGACCGACTGATGATCATAGAGTGATCAAGTGTCCATAGAGTGTTAACTGAGTATCGATCAGAACGTCGATTGAGTATTGATTGAGATGTCAATTGAGGGTTAAATTCTGTGCCAGTCACCCTGAGTCTCCTTACAATGATGACTGTTAATTCTCTTGAAATATTTAACAAAACTACTTACTTAAACTACGCTCTCTATTCTATTTTTGATTTAATTAATATTAACTGATCTGATCTATAAGCAAGCAATGCAACCCACCATCAATTTCTAGAGCCTCAATTTTCTTTAAGGCCTCAAGAAGCTCTGTTTCACTTGCTTGCACTTTGGAAAGTAAGTCCAAAAGAGAGTACTACAAAATTGAAAAACATAAAATAACACACATGCAAGAAAATTCAAAAAGTTAATATGAAATAAATATTAAATATTAGCTCTTTCAACAGCACAAAATTCTGTCTGAACAGGAACTTATTTTTATTAAAAATAATGATAACCCTCCTGTTTCCAAAATTAAAATGATAACAAAAACTGATTTCCGAATATTTTGTTATGTATTAGTTTTTGAGAATACTGGCATGTCAACCATCATCCCTTAGTTCTGACTGAATGGAATATCTCTCTCATGGGAATTAAAGGAAACAAGGTTTTATTAGCTCAGAATTAAATTAACACACCAGACTTGGCCTCTTTGTAAGAGATCCTTCAGACTGATCTTCAGGATTCAGGTCATTTTCTGATCCCTTGTACGGATTTTCATTTAGCAGATACTTGAGTTTTTCCAAACGTGGCCTGCATTGTTTTACTTCAAAGTACATGGTGTGACAACTAGAAACCTGTCAAAAAAAACGATAATAGTTTTATCTTTATTGCAAACCTTATAGATCCTGGATCATGTGTACTTAAGGCATTAACAGTTGAGTGTTGATTGATACCCTTGATCAATACCTTTGATCGACCCTTGATCGACCTCTTGATCAACACTCCATTGACAGTCCATCAACACAATGGTTAAACTTGATAGACACTCCATTGACATCTCGGTCAACAGTCAATCAAGAATTGACTAATTGATGCAAATGAATCAGCGACACCCAGTTGACTATTGACTGACTGTTGATTGAGTGCCGACAGAGAGTCAGTCAAGATGCTAATCCCATGTTGATCAAGTGTTGACCAAGTATCGATCAGGATGCTGATGAAGTGTTGATCAAGATGTTGGCTACGGGTCTATCAAGGGTATCAATTACACTTTACTACTGATGTCTTTAGTACACATGAACCTTATTCCCTGCTCTCAGCGTACTGGTGGTTTTCATCAAAATGACAAGTATTTTAATTTGGTGATCCAGTCTTACCTCTCTGTGAACCAATGGAGAGACTTCAGATTTGAAATCTACAAAAAAAAATTGGAATTTGAAATTATTAGAGACCAGGAGGTTTAAAATTAACAGTGGAGTAGGACAGGAGAGTGGGGGAAGTCTTAAAGGTGAAAGAAGATAGAATGATAATTGGATTTAAAAGTAGAGGAAGCCAGGACAAAAACAAAATTAAAACGGTTTCAACATTGCCTTAGCTAAGATTTTCTAAAAGAAAAGGCAAAAAGAGGAGAGAGCTGCTATGCTAAAAAAGGACAGGAATGAGGAGAAAAAGATGAGCTTTGGACACCCCAGTATATACCCCTCAATATGTTTCAATACATCTCCAGTGTATTAAATCAGCTGTGATACAGTTAATTGCATACAAAGTTAAATAAATTTTACAACTTATGATAAGCAAATAACTGAGACTGAAGTCAAATTACCTTCATCCTTGGGCAAGGAACAGTGCGGTACTAACAACAGAGAATTAGAAGTCTCAGCCACTCTCAGATCAAATGTTGCTTTATCCGAACACAAGACAGCTTCATCTTGGTGATCCCCTCTTATAGCCACACTGCCATTAATAAGATCAATCAAACATAGAAAATAGTTAGGCAACGTGAACATGAATGGAATTTAAGTCTGTTGCAGCCTACTGCTGCTGAGTTGATAGTCAACTGAACAGTCTTACCCAAGATAACAGCAAAAGACCTCGGATCACATGTACTAAAAGTATCTGTGGTTGTGTGTTGATTGATACCCTAGATCAGCCCTTGATCAGCACTAAACTGACATCTCAATCGGCCCTTGATCAAAACTCAATTGACATCTTGATCAACACTTGATCGGTATCTTGATTGAGACTCAGCCAAGTCCAATACTCAGTCAGCACTCAATCAATTCCTTGATCAGCTCTCGATCGGCTGTCAGTCAATAGACAGCTGAGTGTCAGCTGACTCGTATGTATTGATCAACACTCAATGACATGTCTGGAAAAATTAGTTGACTCTCGACTGACAGTTGACAGAGAAGTTTATTGAGAGTCCATTAAGTGGCAATCGAGGATTGCTCGAGGGTATCAATGGAATGTTGATTGAGGATGCCTTTAGAAAACATGATCCAAGACCTGTTTGCCTTCCAGTAGCTTAGCTTCTAGCCGGTTGAACTGACAATGTTGACTATACTTGCCAACATTGTACAGGAAGAAATCCAGTTTAGAAAGCTCAGGGTGGAATCACCAGATTATACACTTACCTATTTCCAACATCAAGGGTCTCCAGTATACTTCTTGGCAGCTCTAATAGTTTGTACTCATCAGAGTTGGGATTCACAGAGAAATGCAGCACCTGTACAGGGCCTGTCCTATTGACGAGACTAGCAGCATCAGCTAGTTTGTTGACTTCTTCTATGGATCTATGAGAAGAATGACAAAACTTTGTACGGAATTGATTTTTATGACACAAGGTGTACAAATAATTAAAGGAATGTTGGACCATACATGGTGAAGGTATCCATGGTCAAGTGTTGATTGATACCCTTGATCGACCCTTGATCAACGCTTGATCGTCATCTCAATAAACTCTCGATGGACATCTCAATTGATACTTGGTCGAGACTCGATCAACATCTTGATATACACCTGATTGACACTTGATCGGCACCTGATCAATGCCTAGTCAACTTTTAGTCAATAGTCTTACAAGTGTCATCTGACTCGTATCTATAGATCGACACTCAATGCATGTTTATGAAAATTAGTCGACTGTCGACTGACTCTCAACCGAGATTTCGCTGCTTCATCGAATGATAGTACTGTCTTCAGAGGAAAATGGAACCAGGTTTTAAACTGTGCCAAAGCTAAATTACAAGCATTAAAACTGCACTCTTTAAAATATAATCTTATTTGGACTCATTCAGTCCCAAGATTTGGCCTAATATTGATATAAAAATAAACACTCTACCAACCTCGTCACTACCGCCATCTTGAACCATCTTCCCGGGCTTTTTCCAAACGCACCAGTACGAGGCTAGTTCCAGTCCTACTCTTTTTTAGTCTCGCACATTCAACATGTCTTCTGAAGGGTGAGTTCGCGTTCGTTTGCTTGGAATTCTTGAATTCTTCATGAGGCTTATAACTTTTTAAAGAGGGGATTAATCTAAAGTTGTTAATGCAAGCTGGTGACCCGTCAAGAGCAATCTCTATTTCAAAATTCTTGGTGTAGCTTTGGGTGGAATCTGGTCTACGTGTCTTCAGTACAATCCAAACTTTCCAGATCTTTCCGACGAATCTTTTGGAAAGGCTTCAAAATTATATCAATCGCGACGGAGAAAAGAAAAGAAAATCTTTGCCTGCAAACAGATAGGCCCTTACAGATCCTTACACAGTTTTCTTTTGACGTTATTTGTAATTTTT